TCCTGACAGTGAGAACTATTAAGCAGTGGAACAGCTCGCCTCCCGGAGTGGTAGGTACTCCATCGCTGGAGGTTTTCAAGACAAGATGGACAGCCGTTTGTCTGAGATGGTATGAGGATTCCTGCCTTGGGCTGGGGGTTGGACTAGAAGACCTCCAAGTTCCCTTCCAACCCTATGATTCTATGAAATAAAAGGAAGTATTCAAACTTAGTGTCCTTTCAAAGGTGCCAACTGCGGTTTGTCCAAGATGGCTATTCCCATGTGAAGCTGATTTGGTGACTTATTTTTGATTTGACATTTGCTTCTTAAGTTGTATTACAGATGATACAAGTAATAATAACTGTAGAATTTTACTTCATAAATGTTAACAATTTATTTTAAAAATGTACTTGATAGTGGAAGGAAACTCAGAAGTAGATCATTCTGTGGAGCATTTCTTTTTGTTTTGTGGCTTTCATCATTCTGTTTTTTCTGTTTTGTGTTTCTTCTTCTGGATTCATACGGTAATCTTTCAGAGTTAGATCTCCCTGCAAACCCTAGTGCCTGCCACATGTTTGGATGTTAATCATTTATTTGTTTTTCTAATTTACAGGGTGTTCCAGGTCCTGGCCAATATGACATAAAAAGCCAGTTTGGGAAGGCAGGTAGTGTCACACAAAGTGAAGTTCATCGTGTTCCTTTTCTTTCTCTTTCTGAGGTAAAAAGTACTATAGTTCTTTTCTATTTGCATTTTTTTTCTTTTTGATATCGTTGTTAGCCTCTTTGAAAAATTTGAAAGACAGTTTTACAGGATTTTGTTTCTGGAGGAATATGTGCAGTGGTTTATTTGCAATATTATTTACAAATACATTAAATAGAACTTAATGACAGCAGACAATTTACACAGAAGTTCCTATAAATTCTAATTATCCATTAGATTATTTATCAGATTCATAATTAGATTTACATTAGATATACATCAGATCTGAAACATAACTGCAGCCAAAGATCGTTCAGTTACATTCCATGTAAAATTTTTAGGTTTTTTTCCCCTCTCTCTCTTTCCCTCTCTCTTGCTGATTTCCTTCTTTGAACTAAGATAAATGTACCTTTTCAAAATCTAGAAAAGATTCCTAAGCATTGAGGACAATCAATCTGTTAATGGTGCTCTTATGGTAATGTTACACAAAACTGTAGTATGCTTGCCAGTATTTTTCAGTAGTTTCTGCATGCATGGCACTGTACAGAGAATGTATATGTCCATCTAAAATGCCAAAAGATTGAGAATTGAATATAAATAATGGGCAGATAACAGAAGATAACACTATTTCATTATAAATTCAATGGTGGAAAAAAAACTGATTCTGAAGTAGCAGTGCAAGGGTCTCAAGCATTACTCAGTTTAACTATATAGATTCCTCTTCAGGGTGTTATGTTCTCTTGGATTCAGGTACAAAAGGATCAGAACATTTTGTTGCTTGTTCTGGGGAAATAAACTGCTTCCAAATTTGGCTCATGTACTGCATGGAGCAGATTATAAAATATATTTGTTCGACATCACTTTCTTTTTACTGAACGCTACATAGTCAACAAATGCAATTGTTTAACAACTACTAATGAGTAAACTACAGGCCTACCCTGACATGCCTCCAAAGTTTTTCTTGCCTGTGGTTTACAATCAAGCCAGAATAAACAGACAGTGAGCCTTTGATGAAATGGCATAATGAGATGGATGTAGTTGTTAACAGTGTTAGGCCCAGAAGCTTGAGTGTGAAGCAGTCTGCAACCAAATATCTCACCACTTTAAATTGCCTTAACTTTGCAGAGTGTTCTCTCATGCTTGATTTAATATGATGTAATCTGCTTTGCTGCAAGGTAGATTTCATAGAATCATAGGGTTGGAAGGGACCTTGGAGGTCTTCTAGTCCAACCCCCAGCCCAAGGCAAGAGTCCTCATATCATCTTGGACAAACGGTTGTCCATCTTGTCTTGAAAACCTCCAGCGATGGAGTACCTACAACTCCGGGAGGCGAGCTATTCCACTACTTAATAGTTCTCACTGTCAGGAAATTCCTCCTTATTTCCAGGTTGGATTTCCCTCTGACAAGCTTCCACCCATTGCTTCTTGTCCTACCTTCAGGTGCTATGGAGAATAAATCGACACCCTCTTTCCTGTGGCAGTGTCAGGTTCAGCCCAAAGAACTCCCCGAGACAGTGCAGATACAGTTCTGTTGCGTTTATTAGCTTTCACCTCAAGACAAAAATTTCCCCAGACTTAATTTAACTT